GTTAGTAGTTAGTAGTTAGTAGTTAGTAGTTAGTAGTTAGTAGTTAGTAGTTAGTAGTTAGTAGGTAGTAGTAGTAGTAGTAGTAGTAGTAGTAGCAGGAGTAGTAGTAGTAGTAGTAGCAGCAGTAGTAGCAGTGGCAGAAGTACTAGTAGTAGTTGTTGTTGCTGCCGTAGCAGTAGAAGCCATAGCAGCAGTAGTAGTAGTAGTCGTCGCCGTAACGGTAGTAGTTAGTAGTAATGGTAGTAGTAATGATCATGATGATGGTAATGGCATTTCTGAAATTTTAAATCAATGACCACTGACTAACAGCAGTCTTAACGATACTAGATGCAAAATTAAAGAGGACAGCGTAGCTTTGATTGTCTAGACACACACACACACACACATATATATATATATACATATACACCTGCAAATACATATACATGTGGGTGGTTGTCAAAATTATGGTCCCTTTTGAGGTCCAAAATATAATACGGCACCTAATATTAAGGTACTCAAAAAGGGACCCTTATTTTGACAACCACCCATGTGTGTGTGGTACTGTAGCTTAGGTTCAGCTCCTGAACAAGAACCCAGATAAACCCTAAACCCTAAACCCTAAACCCGGTTCAGCTCCTGAACAAGGACCCAGATGCCGGTGCTCTTCCACAAGGTCCTGGGCTCTCCGCTTGGCACCGAAAGGCCATGTAAGTGAAGAAGGGGGGTCTATAACGGTCGAACACGGTTCCCGTTTTAGACTTTACGGTTTGGGGGTCTATAACAGTCCAGAATACCGTTCCGGGTTTAGGCTTTGCGGTTTAGGGTTTCATGTTTTGGGCTTTGGGCTTGGGCTTCGGGGATGGGAGCCTGGGATTTGGGGTCTGGGGTGTTGTCCAGCTTCCGACGGACTTTGCTGTTGCACAGCTAGGGATGAAACTATCCCGACAAGGTAAAAGTGTACTGTTACTTGCTCGACGACAAAAAGCCCAGAGCAGCGAACCTCTGAGACAAACGACGGTAAGAACGGGAGAATGTTCCTTTTATAATGCCTAAGAGTCATTGCGAGGACCTGCAGCATGTCCAGGTATCGAGCCGACTTGGCGATGCGGAAGAGCCTGGCTAACCGGATGATCCGCAAGAAGGACGAGGACGGCAAGAACTGGCCCACGAGGATATTGAGCCAGTAGGGCCTTCAGCAGACACGCAGCAAATACGACCCAGAACCGGTTTTGGGTGTTGTCTAAGAAGGCACACCTTCTAAAGGAAGAATGGCCTATAGATCCCTAAACCGACACGGGACATGATTGCCACAAGGTCCACGAGGTTGTCCGACTTTTTCACGAACTCCATGACGCGGCTCTTTCGGGTGAAGGGTCGCCTGCCGAAGTCGTCGAGGTTGAAGTACTCCATTTGCCTCGTCACACTACGAACTCAGTTGCAGAATCACAACTCTAGAGACTCTAGAGCTCTTAAAACCCTGCGATTTGCCTGCTTGTGGGGAATATCCAATATCTTCAACGAGACGGACGGTCTTTGGCCTAACATCGGGCATTTTGATTGTCCGAAAACAGCAAAACACATGGTCGCAATCCTTTCGGTGAGCGCCGAACACCCATAAGAAAAAAATAACGTCGTAGTGATGCTAGTGCACCAAGTAAGTAATGAAAGCCTAAACCTAGACCCCAACAAAAACAACGCCCCAAAGCCGGAACTCTAAGTCCTTACCCTAAGCCTCTAGACCCTAGATAAGCCCCGAAACCCCATGCAACTCTTTAAGAACCCTTTTCGGCACCCTGAACAGAGCCCCGAACAGCCCCAGACCCTAACGAATCCCTAACTGCCCCAGAAAAGGCCAGGGTGCGGACTCAGGAGCTCGAGTCTGACAAAGGGGGCACAAGCCAGTCGGACAAGGTAATCGACGCTGAAGACCAGGAGACACATCACCTGCCATTTAGGGTTTCGGGCTTTCGGGCTTCAAGGCTTTAGGGCTTGGGCTTTAGGGTTTAGAGATGTGTTTAGGGTGTAGGAGGGTTCGAGGTTTTGCTCTAGAGTCCGGATTGACTTCAGGGGTTTGCCAGCCAAGAGTTGTTGATTCTCATGGGCGATCTCATTTGGGGTCCTTGTGATAAGGATACGACTATATAGGATCAGATACCCAGAAAGCCAAATAGCCCATTGCTTAAGGAATGCACCTTCAATCACATCAACTCCCTCCATCCGGCAACAGGTTAAGCACGAATCGAAGGTTATTGTGCGCTCTGCGCCCCTCCTTAGAAGGCCAAAGTACCTCCGGGTACCCTAAGCCTGAGCTTGGCCAGGGCCCTGCTATGGCATCCAATGCGAAACCTTACATGCCCGGAGCCTTTGAGGCTTGAGGGCTTAGAGCTCAGGGTTTATGCAAGCAGTCATGGGACAATCCAGGCTCAGGGTTTAGGGCTCAGGGTTCAGGGTTTAGGATTTACGGCGTGGTGTGGCGAGCTCTCTTCGAAAGTAGTGCTCCGTCTCGGATGGATCACAT